TGTGAGCTGTCACTTGTGCTGAGGTAGATTTTTGGTGATGCAGCTGTCTTTGAGTCCTTTCTGCTCCTAAAAGTAACCCCAAGAAGCTCATTTCACCAATTTGACATTGATGGTATCCTTTCTTTGGTTGATAGTACATTCCTTACCTGCAGTGAAAAGATGTTTGTTCCTGGCTCTCCAGGAAGTGTCACACAGTGTCCAGGCATGACTCTAACTTGTGATCATCCTGCCTTCGTCTCTTGAGCAGCTAGAATTATAGGCCTGCACCACCAGGGCTAGCTATAAAACTGCATTTCACAGTCTTCTTAGCTTTTATTATTTTGGTATGGTCCTTCCTTAATTATGTAGAGAGTATGACAAAGACAGAATTTCTAGAAAGTTTTATAACCAACTTTCAGAGCACACGCTGCTGCTTTCCTTGTGACATCCATTGCAGCTTTCTTCCTTGTCTCAGAATCTCACCCATCAAGACAGATACTGCTAGGTCAAGGCTCATTTTGGCAGTCCAGTTCCTCTTGTCAGTAATTCATTTAACAGAGAGGATGGAATGGGCTCCAGACAAACAGAAAAGGGGAGAGGGCTGTTTGGTGGTTTGGGGGATTTCCTGCAGGCTCTTTTACTACTAGATATCCTTATTTACCACAGAATTGGCTACAGTCACATTCTAGGCACAAGGGGCCATAGTCTAGTTGAAGCCAATGCTGAAGGCAACAGGAAGGAGACAGGAGTAGTGGTCTGAATAAAAATGGCCCCAATGGGCTCACAGGAATGGAAATATTGGGAGGTATAGCCTGGTTGGAGGAAGTGTGTCACTGGGGGATGGGTTTTGGGGTTTCAGAAGCCTAAGCTAGGCCCAGTGTCTCTCTCTCTCTTCCTGCTGCCTGTGGATCCAGATGTAGAACTCTCAGCTCCTTCTCCAGCACCATGTCTGCCTGCATTCTGTCATGCTTCCTACTATGACAATAATGGACTAAACCTCTGAACTGTAAGTCAGTCCCAATTAGATATTTTCCTTTATAAGAGTTGCCATGGTCATGGTATCTCTTCACAGCAATAAAACCCTAACTAACACACAGGAGTATCAAAATCCTTGATAATATTGCTGAGCCTCTGGATCAACCAAATCAGTCATTAATTCACTTCAGTGACTGTAGCCAAAGCCTCCTAACTGATAAAAATAAAAATCAATTGTCAATTATAACCCATGACAATGCTGGGGATATGGCTCAGCTGGTAGAGCACTGGCCTAACATGCATGAAGCTCTAGTTCTATCCCTACCACCACGTAAAAATGAGCATGCCTGTAATCCCAGTACTTGGCACTTAGGAGATGGAAGCTGCAGGATCAGAAGGTCAAGGTCATTCTTTGCCACCTGGCATGTCCCAGGCTAGCCTGGGCTACAAGAGACCCTATCTCAAAAACACACAAAAGAGCCGAAAAGCTAGCCAATTCTATCCATTTATGGACTGCTCCTTCCTTCCAACAACAAAAACTACATCCAACTGTTTTTAAAAGCATATGTTTATTCTTTATTTTTGTTTTACTTGATTTATAGTGCTAGGAATCAAGCTCAAGGCCTGCTACATGTAAGGCAGGTTCTCTACTATTTAACTATGCCCTCAGCCATAAAACAATGTAAACAACAAAAGAATTACATTAAATAACTGAATAAATAAAGGTTACTCCTATTCCTAGCACCCACAAGTCAGGATTAAAATTTTAAACGAAGCTCCTATACCATTTTCTAATTTCTAAAAGCCCAAAGAGGTTTGAGTATGTATAGAAAATCTCTAATTTATTAATCAGATTTTGTAAAAAATTAGACTCATTTATTTTATTTTATGTGATGTGTAGGAGTATTATGTATGTATGTATGTATGTATGTATGTATGTATGTATGTATGTATATATGTGTGTATGTATGTGACTTGTGTCTAGTGTCCTTCAGAGGTCAGGAGAGGGCACTAGAACCCCTGGAACTGAAATTAGAGATGGCTGTGAGGCACCATGTAGGGGATGAGACCTGAACCCTGGTCTTTTGCAAGAGCAATAACTGCTCTTAACTGCTGAGCCAATTCTCCTGCCCCCTGCACATTAGATTTTTGAGTAAATTATTTCGACTTCAAATTTTTCACTGGTCAAAACACAAATTCAGTTCTAACCTTTTTAAAAATAATGTCTGTAGGAACCTTCTGACCTCTGAGCACAGCGAGGCCTGCTGGGCTTTGATCCCAGTTCTCCCCACCCCCACCCCATTTACTGCAGGGAGGAAACAGAAAGCAGGTGGGGCACAGACAGAAGAGGTTCAGACGTGCGCAGAGCAAGGCCTCTAACACTAGGGACCGTTTTAAGTGGCTCGTTTATAACCCACATTTTCTAAACGTGGGTACTTGCTCCGATCTTCCCCGAAGCGGGTCTCCTGTGGTGGGAAGCAGCACTTGTGTAAGCTGGTCGAGCAGCACAGCATTTCTGCAATCACAGGGCACTTCTCTTATAAGCCATCAGTGTGACGGACGGTCATGAGGTAGCATGTTTCCTCCTCAGCTCTGCTCTGCCATGACTCCTGTCATTTCTCAGTATCAGGTTACAGAGATGATAAAAATACAATTAACAAAATAGCAGAGGGCTTGTGTTAATGTTAAATGGAATGGCTCCTGGTATAGGCAAAGGATTCTGTGTAAAATTACTCTGAAAAAAAATCTCAGTTTGTGTAGCAACCAATAAGCTTTATTGTTTTTCTTCCATTTGGCATCTCTCTTACTTTTCCAAGAATCTACCTATAAGCTAAATTCTGGCATGATCACAAATTCTCAGCTTGGCCAGGTGCTATTCCTGGCCTGTGACCTCTTCACTTCTAAACTTAATTTTTTAAGATTTTATTTTAAAGTGTGTGTGTGTGTGTGTGTGTGTGTGTGTGTGTGTGTGTGTGTGTGTGTGCAGATGAGTACAGGTACCCATAGAGTCCAGAGGAGTTGGATCCCCTGGATCTAGAGTTACAAGATGTTCTGATCTGCCTGATAGGAATACTAGGAGCCAAACTGGGGTCCTCTTGAAAGTGCAGTATCTCTCCAGTCCCCCGCCCCCACCACTTCTTGAGCTCCAAGAAGTGAATGCGGGCCAATGAGATGGCTCCGAGGTAAAAGCACAGGTCTCTAAGCCTGAGGACCTGAGTTCAATCCCTGGACATACATGACGAAAGGAGGGAATTGACTGACTGGCATAAGCCGTTCTCTGACTTCTTTCTATGCATGTGCCATGGCGTGCGTGCGCACTCGTGCGCGCAGACACAGACACACACGACACACAGTAACAACAACAATAATAATGATAATGACAAAAGGAGCAGATGTCACACAATAGCTGTGGTCTGATGAGGCTGCTTTCTCCACAAGACTTCCATAAGGGCACAGCTCTTCTGATATAGACAGAGTGAACAAGGATTTTTTTTTTAAGTTTTGCAATTGCCGTCTTGTCTCTTGTTCATGTTTCTTATCTCCCAGAACTTACTTTCATGCCTGGAGAAGAGCATCAAGAACTCTGTCTTCTCATCCCTTCACCCCAGCAACCTACACAGGCAGCCACACCTCTGGGCTTACTGTTCTATTAACTTCTTGTTTTTCTAAAACAAAACCCTTGCTACAAATAATCTAACTAGCCACTAATTTGATTGGACATTTCTGGACTTTGTTCTTTTTTATGTCGTTCAGTATTTGATTAAACACATTGTTCTTAGAAACAGCCATGGTCAACACAAACATTTGGTCGCTAAGCATCCTAAATATTTATATTTATGAGGCTGAGCCTTGTGAACTGAACAGGAACTGAAACCAGAGCTCCCAGATTATACATCAAGAAATAGAATGGTGTACTTTATTTTCAAAGATCATATGCATTTTATTTTAGCATTATAATTATAGATATACTATGTTTATGTATAAAGTAGTCTTTGAAATTCCTGTAATAAATTAATTTTTAAAACAAATACTGTTCTGGGTACTTTTTATATGTGTATGATGCATCTCTCTTTCTTTCTTCCTCTCTCTCCTCCTCTCTCTTCCCCTCTCTCTCTCTCTCTTCCTCTTCCCCCTCTCTGTGTATGATGCAAACCTCTGTATGTGTAGAGGCATGTGTGTGTCATGTATGTGTTGTGGGGCCCATGTATAGGTCCTTGTCTTCCGCCATGTTTGAGATAGGGTCTCTGTGTGTGTAAAGGCATGTATGTGTCATGGGGCACATGTTTGAGATAGGGTCTCTGTGTGTGTAGAGGCATATGTGTGTCATGTATGTGTCATGGGGCACATGTTTGAGATAGAGTCTCTGTTCTGGCCTTTGCTAACGCCAGGCTGGCGATGCTTCCAGAGGTTCTCCTGCCTCCGGCTCCCATCTTATCACAGAAACACTGAGGTCATAGGTGCTACATGCCTCGCTTTAAGTGGGCTCTGGGTATCCAAAACACAGGATTTCATACAGTAAGTGCCTGATCCACTGAGCATTCTCCCACCTCTGAACATGTTATAAGGTCATTTTCTTATCATTTGCTTTCCAATGATTCTTCCTCATTTTCATAAAACAGTCAACATTTCAAAAGCACTCTGTTTTGAATTTAAAATTAGATATTTTAAGAAATAACAATTCAGAAAATTTAAATATTGTAGACAGTAAAGAAATGAATACAAGGGAAAAATGAGATGATTACTTCATCTGAACATCTAGAGAAATCACTGATATGCTAGGTAACTTCTATACTTGACTATAGCCAAGAGGCTGAGAAACAACTCATAAGTTCTATACTGGGAGACAAAAATACTTTACTGAGATAAAATGGTGACAGGTCCTTCAATATTTAATGTAGGCCACAAGAAAGCCAAGAGAAGCCACAGCAGACCATCACCTACACAACCATTGCCCAAAGACGACACACTGGGCCTTTCTAAAGTCTTTGTTTTGGGACACATCAATGGGCAAGGCCCTCGTAGAGCTGTTTAATATTGAACCTTACATGAGCGTCTCTTTACAGCTGTCCAGCTCCATCACTGTCTTCTGAAGCCTCAACCCAAGGGCATCTACTTGACACTGTAGGTCTGAAACGACACAGCATGCTCATTAGTATACCAGGGTCGAGGTGTTTTCACAAACTAAATCAAACTCTTCTGAAGTTTCCCTTTAGTTTCCAAAGAACAACACAAAGAACATTGCCTGTATGGTTTTAAGCAACATGCTCGTGGTCCACACAACACTCCACATACCTCATGTCTTGGCCCTTTCTCTCCTTCCCATCATGCTAATTTATAGACACCTAACAAGCTAACCTTTCTAGTGTTTTCAAAGGAAATTTGTGTGGCTGGCATACTCCAGAGATGTCTGATCATTTGGCTTACTTCTTAAAATGTTTGGCTCTCTGAGCTCCCTTTTCTGTTCCCAAACCAACTGAGTCTTCTGGGTAGAAATGAAATAGACAAATCATATGCCAGGCACATGATTGAGAGTTTGTTAACGCTGAGTAGTATCTAAAAGGCATTTTAATAACTTTAAAAGACAAGAGAATACTTTGGAAAATTGGCTTCCACATAGTCTTCATCTAGGTAATTAAGGAAGTATTTGAAAAGAGTTATTCAAGAAGCCATGCGTAATGTGTATAGAGTTTTGTCTTACCAGAGTCCTGGCGCTAGGCGACTGTGAGAGTGTGGTCTGAACCCCACTCCACTGACAGCCTGTGGGTATTTAATGCTCTGGAAATCATTTAAGGTATGAAAGGAGACTACACAAAATGGACTTAATAGTTTAAGAATACAGAAATACTTAATACAGAAAAAAGACATTCAAAACAAGGGAATTGTAAAGTTTTTATGTTCTAGCCACCTCAAGTGTTTTAATATCCTACTTTTAACTTATTTTTAATAGTAAACTTGAAATTTTTTATGCAGCACCATAAAAAGCACATCACCAAACTTCTGTTAAATCTTCAACATGTTTTTTTATCTCTCTTTTTTTAAACAATGGGCTAGTTTCTCAAATCAGAAGCAAATTCATTCTAAACAAATGTTCTCATAAAGATTTACCAGGCATTTATATTAAAACCTTTGTTTATCTCAGTGTTTTCAAATACATTATTTTTTAATTATTTTAATGAACATATAAAATTTTGTGTCTATCATGTACACCATATTTTGAAACATGGATACAGTATGGAATGAATAAGTCAAGCTTATTATTAACCCATGTACTACACCAATTCTTATTTTTTTGAGGTGTGAACACTTCAAATTTACTCTTAAAATTATTTGATGATGTTATTAACTAATAATGACCATGCTGCACAATAGTCCTTTAAATTCACCACTTATCTAAATGAAATGTCTGTTTGCTTTGACCAACGTCTCCTCACATGCATCATTTAACTTTATCCCTTCAGACAGGTTCGAACTGTCTCATTTTCCAAATGAAGAATGAGAGAGAGAGAGAGAGAGAGAGAGAGAGAGAGAGAGAGAGAGATCGATCCTCTGGGTCCATTGTCCTATTCTTGAAATCAGAAACCAATCAGCCAGCTGCTAAACTTTCTGAAGATGTTTAAGTCTGCTGAGGGGAAGACTCCTCAAAACAAGATTCAATTCCTGACTTACTAATGATATTTTCAGGGTACACTTTTTCCCATTAATGGAAGAGAAAGTAATAGGAAATATACTTTTTGGTAAAAATCTTTCAAAGCCCAGGAGCCTTATTTGGAACGGTCTGTACCATGTCATTGTTATTAAGCTCCTGTGGGTCAGACACTCTGCCGGCAGGTTTTGACGCAGTCTCTGGAGAATGAAGAGGCGGGAGCTGGTGCTCACTGAGGGAGGGCATCCTATGTCCAAGTGCCGAGCACGGAGCCTTCTCTGCATTAGTTCATTTGTGGCACAGTTACCAGAGGAGGAAGCAGGTATTTTGGTTTTTCCAAGTGGAAAGAGGAAAGTGATTGGCTTCCTAAAGTTGACTCAGCAAGCTGTGACGTGATTCAGTGGTCACACTGAGTCCTGTCTGAGCCTTAAGTCTTTCTTGCTCACAATGACTCTCGAAACATAAAAGCCACAAGCGAACAGTATATTTGTCAAAGAAGTGTGGTGAGTGTTGTCCAGACCAGCTGGAGTCTCTGGACTTCTAAGGAGATACACTTTACAAAACGAGAAATATTGTTTTACTAATGAAAGCTAGAAAGACATGGTGTCCTTGTGACTAATTTTATGGAGCTGACAACATTGAGGACAAGTTTGCTTTCTTGTTGAATGCTCCTTGTACTTCTGTCAGGATAGAATCATAAAGTAGATTAAGCATGGATCTGAGCCCATGGGATAAATTTTGTATTATTTCTAAGTGTGGCTATAGTTAAAACTGATTAGCTTTAAAATAAATCCCCAAAGAACTGTAACTTTGTATGTAAATTTTATGTAATTAATTCTCAATTACCTGAGAGTTAGTAGAATAGTAGATGCTGAAAAGAGCCACTAATTCAAGCTCACTCTGGTAACATTAAAAAGTATTCTAAGGCTCACACTTGAATATACAGATGTGCCAGAGTTCCAGAATTGACCAGGTTCCCACTGAGACAAAGCATGCCAAGGACCCTACGCATGAGTAATGACAGAGCTGTGAACTTCTGTGGCTCTTTACCATGCTTTTCTCTTCTCTTCTCACTTTCAGGACAAACATAGGTGAGCCTTTGGGTCACAGTGCAGAACCAGCAGAGGAAACACTGTCCCCATGACTGTTTGCCACATGTCTTAAAACAGCTCTGAATATTGGTAAAGTAAATAAATGTTTCACCTTGTAAAATAAGAACCCATGAAGGTTGTCACACCAAGTAAACAGAAACAAAAATATAAGCAGTGCCAACCACGAAAGTATTTTATTTAAGGAGAAAAGGCATCACCTAAAGCTGAGGAAACACAATTCATTACAAATAGCTCACAATGTAAAAAGCCCCCTGGTGCGTTATTGGGAGTCGATTTATATATTTTCATGGCTGCTTTTCATTTTTTGGTAGTATTTTTTGTAATCAGGAAGTCCTAAGGATTATTTTAAAAAACAAAAACATAGGATGTGTCTCTTTGGTTCTGAATGATGTGTAAGCATCACACAGGCTTATTAAAGGTTCTGGTAGATAGCAGGGCCCTTTGTTTTCAGAAGCAGAATGCCCAGTTCCTGTCTTTAATAAATAAAGGAACATAGTCAGGATAAGCAGCAGAGAGTCTAAGCCACCTGCGCAAAACAGCTCCTTCAGTTTCTGAGGCAAGGAGTTCTTAAATAAGTGTATTGTTCTGTGCAGTCCTTCTCTATAGTCAAATAAATTCAACTTCAATTTTCTGTCATTCAGCATGACATTGGATTATGAGGCAAGAGGCCCTGAATGACTGTGAAGAGAAAGGAAGCATTGGCTTTAAACACCATGCAGATGTAAGGCGGAACCCATGGAAACAATCCAAAATTCACAACAGCACATTCTACTGGGATGTGACTGCGTTCTCTGCAGATATTAAATACGAAGCAAATGATTTTAAATGAACAAAACCAAAAAGAGCTCTTAGTCTCTCTTCATACGAAGCAGCTGCTGGCCGGATAGCATTACACAGACAGCAGATTTGCAGTAATCAGTATTTGAAAGAATCCTGTGATTCTGAAAGGTTTTGAGAAACTGCACACACAAAAGGTATTCACGGTTAACTATTTTATAGGAAGATAGAAAGCTTTAATAGTCACTTGGAAGGCATAATAATAGGCATAAGACAATATCAGAGAAAACAATAAATATACCTCAAAGGGTAGAAAGAAGAAGTTTCAACTAAAAAAACTCCTAATAAGGAAAACACACAATCTTAAATTTTTATCCGAAGTCCTACTGGGAGGAAAATCTATAACCCAAGGTTCATGTAGCAAGGCAGAAGAACAGCAGGCATAAGGACATGCAGAGACACAGGGTAAAATAGTTAAGATTTCTAGTTTGACTTGACAGTTGCAATGCCAAAGGGTTAAGATGACCTCACTGGTGATTCTGAGCAGCAGAAATTACTTGTCTCAACACAATAAACAAATTTCAACATAAAATACCCCAGTGGCTGTCCTTTCTTTAATGTTAGAGATAAGGAATCCCAAACCACCTTTGAACCTTCTAACACAATTAACACTTAACAGTTCAGAGGTGCTGGACACAAGTTCTAAAGCCACATACTTGGCTTCAAACCCTGCCTCTTCCAGGCCCTATGGTTCCAGGCACCCTGCACAGGGCTCTTCCAGCCTTCCTGTTGTTACCAAAGCCACCAACTCTAGTAGGCTTTTGCTGGGAAGCCCACCCACCAAGCATGACTGAGACACAAGTAGGCAGTGGATCAGGTAGGAGGGCTCCAAGCCTTCCCTCCTCCTCTGTTCCTCCATATCCAGTCCCCCAGTCTCATCCCCAGCTCTGTAGCAGATCATCTGCTAAGGTCTCTTCCTCACTCTCTGCCCCCATTCCCAGGGGACTAAGTACATCCTGGTGGAACACCCTGCTTTTATTTCTCCCGTGGACCCCTCAAACCCCCCTCCGACCCCATCCCTATTCCCAAGTGTCAGCTCCCAATACCTAGGAACAAATTTGACCTGGAATCCCCTGTGGCCATCCCTATCAGTATCCCAGAAGAATTTCCTACCAGGCAACACACAGCCATCACTCTTCCCTAAGAACCAGGAAGGCCAACAGAAACCAAGGGACTCACCCAACAAAGACAAGACCAGTAATCAGCAACTAGAATTACAAACTTCCCAAACTCAGATGTCTGCAGGAAAGTATAAAAACATAATCAATAAACAGCCAGGACAGTATGTCTCTACTATCAGCAGCTTTACCATGATAGGTCCTGAGTATTGCCACATAGCTGAAGCACAATAAAAAGCACTTAAAATAGAGAGGAAATGAATAAAACAGTTCAAGACCCTAAAAGGGAAATAGAATCAATGGAGAAAACCCAAAGTGAGGGAAATCTAGAAATAAAGAATTTAGGAACTTGAACAGGAACCTCAGAGGCAAGTCTCAGTAGCAAAATATAAGAGAGGGAAGAGAGAATCTCAGGCA